GAGGGCGAACATTTCCCATTGCACATGTACTGGCAGTGGTTCAAACTCAGAAGAATTAACGGTCGTCCCAGTAGACGTCACTGGCCTTTGGCAACAAGACAAGTGTGTGTACAGTATGGTGTGTGTTTGTGTGTTTGTGTAGAATTCCATCGTTGTTTTTTTTTTCCAGAGTTGACAACTGTTTCCCATGACAGGAAAAGGAGCGCGGATCACTGATTGGACTTAATGGTTAAAACAGGTGGTAGTGAACGTTAACGCTCCTGTGTGGACAATAGTACGGAGGACAGTGTACAGTACTGGGAGCTTTGGTTTAGTGCCATTTTAGCAAAGGTCACAGAGTTCATGTTAGTCTGTCAGTGGTTTATAGCTAAAGAGGAGACATTACTTCTATTTTTATTAGCGCTGTCACATGATTCAAATATCGTCTCACCAGAGCTGGGCCCATTTTAATCTGATTGATCACAGGTTCACTGTGGACTAATCACCTGCGTTACTTTGTATATGTTGATACTCAGTATCACATTGAGAGTACATACAGTACATTCCATAGGTTTTTTAGGAGGATCATTTTATTAACTTTGACTTGACTTGCCGTCGTCTTCAACAACATTATTTATTTCTTCAGACCTTCATACCATGGTAGATCATTTTCTCACAGCCTGATAGAAGAGATCTCATCTGCCATGGATTGACTTACAGGTGCAGCACCCGTGATCCACAGGCAGGCCCATCACTGTGTTTGGACTACAGCGGGGAGCCAGGCCGAGCTTCACCTCCCTGTTTGAGTTTCTGTGTCCTGTCACTTTAACCTGCACACAGAGGACAGAAACCCCCCAAATAAACCTATAAAAACCAATGATATTCAGTGAGGCCTTGTCCCTGATGACTTTTGCTGTTTTGTTTTTTTTTTGCAGTTACGTGAACTGCAAACGCGTTGTCCCTGATGACTTTTGCTGTTTTTTTTTGGTTTTTTTTGCAGTTACGTGAACTGCAAAAAAACACCGCAACATAATTCTTAACACGAGTCAGAGGTTTCCTCAGAGCATCTGAAAAAATATTTTAAGTCACGGCAGGATAGAAAGGGAGGAGTTCCAGAGTGGAGAAGAGGTCTTGACCTTCCTCTGCTGCCGGCAGCCAAGGAGGTGAACCTGAAATCAGCAGTGAGCAGATTAGGAAACTGTTGGTGAAGGAGGAAGAAAGGAACGGATAATAACTGCATGTAGGAAAGCAGTTACTTTATAAACATTACACAGCTGAAATGTAAGAGTATATGTGCCTGTGTCCTGGTCTCCGTGAGAGACAAAGGCCCAGTATCTTGTTGACACTGGACGCGTCTCATGTGGAGAAAGATTTTCTTGGACCTGAAAAGAATGAACTCACATCCTTTACACAACATCTGGAAAGCTGTCGTGTTGACTCCCTTCCTCCTCTTGTCCTCTGGTTGTCCTCGTCTTCGAGTGTCACACAAACAAGTTTTCATGTTTGTCAGAGAGGCTAAAGATAAGATGATGAATGAGCCTTAAATTTACAACAGGTTCACACAGACTGAGCTTCTTTGACTAGTCTTTGGGTACGTTGATTTTTGTCCAATGTTTGGAGAGAGCTTTTCCTTTCACATCTTCTTCTTCGTACTTTTGGGTTTCAACAAGTTTCCCTCTAGAACCCAGATCTTGGAACTGCATTGCAAATTAGAGTCCGAACCTTAATACTTGGTGTTGTGTTTTCACAGACAGATTAAAAAGATTTGATCAAGAATTTGTAGACAAATGTAGATATGAACTAATAATTCTAATTCTAATTCTGTCTTCAGTTTCACTCTTTTGGTTTGTTTAATGGTTGGCCTGTTTTCAAGACGGTAGATGTAAACACAGACTAAACAAGTCACCACTCCTCAGTGTCACTGGCTCTAATCTTACTTCCACCTTTTGTTTATCCAACCAGGGCTCTTGGGTCTTTGGGGGTGGAGGGGTCTGGGGTGGGGTGGGGGAGATAATGTCCTTGAGATCCGACTGGTTGGTGGTTGCTGTGTAGTTAATGCTCCAACATCCTCTCTGTACATCCATCACTTTAACCTTAATCCCCCTCCACAGCTCCCAGGATCAGTCTCCTCAGTCAACAGAACAGCTGGGAACAACCGTGCTGATAAGAAACCACAGAACTGGTTTTGTTCACAGATATAGAAGTTGGTGTGGGTGTGATGCAGCTCCTTCTGATCACAGACACATCCAATGAAGCCATTTAATCGTCATCAACCTTTAACAATGACCAAGTGTGGCATTGTTTTCTTTTGTATTTCTTTAAATTCCTCTAGAACATCGGGGAAGGTGGGTGAGGGTCTAATAAAGTTCAGAACAGCAATTTAAAGCTGGACTAGAGCAGCACCACAGGGAGTTCAGAGGTCAGAGTCAGTCAAAGAATGCAGACAGAAATCCCACTACATGAGCCCCGTTTGTCCCAGGATTCTGATTATACTTGTTTACAATGTTCACAACTGCAGCCGGTGGTTTCTAATGCCTGGAATCAGTCCAGGAATCCTTTTATAGTCTGAAAATGTTTGTTCCACGTCCTGATCTGTCCTCCAGTTCTGCAGCAAAGATCCTTTAGATCCAGCCTTCTGTACACTGGTGTGTATAATAATAATAAAAAAAACCCAGCATATTGTCACATGTTCTATGAAAAAAAATTAAATTACTCTGGAGACCACAGTCTTACACACACACACACCAGTGATTGTTCTAGAAGCGTTCATAGCTCCTATAGTCCACCGGCTCTTCAGAAGAGGCCACAGGGAAACATTCCTTAAAGAACCTCTCACCATGAGTTCCTGCCTGAGTTTAGCTTAGAAACGGTTGCATGGCTTAGAGGAAGGATGGGGGAAATCTTTAAAGTCGAGCTATACAATGGGCCCCCCCCCAACCCGTTCCCCAGTGTGGGGTCCGATCCTATGCAGAGCCTGTTTACCTGCCTGTTCTTTCATCCTTGTGTTTGGGCTGTTTTCTTTTTCTTCTTCTCCTTCAAATACATTCAAAATGCCCAGCTTGGCAGCACTAAGCCTGGCAGTCAGTCCAGTTCACCACAGGTCAGTGCAGGGTCTCAGCTGGTTTGGCACCTATCGTACCACCCTGGTGCTGCGGGCCATGTGATGTGTAATCTGGTGTTGGGGGAGTGAAGAACGAGGCAGCGCAGGAATTAGAGCGTGTGTTTGACTGTGTGTGTGTGGGTGGTTTTAGTTGTGCTAATACTACAGAGTATTTCTAACTGCTCGCATTAAAGAACTGATCCAGTCTACAAACTCACTGACTGGGTTGCTGACTGTTTCTGACTGTTGCTGACTGTTTCAGACTCTTCAGTGGCTTCTGTCGTAGCTGACATGATAACCCAAAAATGGGATTCTCAGAGGATGAGATGTGTGTGTGTGTGTGTGTGTGGAGGTAATGCTTTGTCGTGGCACACAGACACACTGACCTTCTAACGCAGGTGGCTCTGCTGAATACTATTGATATTTTAAAGGTCAGGCTCTGATGTTTGTCTGCTCTGGTTTCACTACTTTCTCACTAGGAATAGACAAAGAACGAGGGCAATTCACATTTATTTATTCAGAGAATAAGAGGTTTGGTTTCAACATGGACGGTCAGACGTCAAGTATTTTGTTTATTCCCAACGGAGTCTCTGAATCAGAGCCAACGATGCTGGAGACACATTAAAGGGAGACGTAATTCAGTTCATCAACGCTGCCACATATACATTAAGAGCCATGATGTATTTCATCATTGACTGATGCAGAAACTTTGGCCTGGACTCAGGAAGCATTTGAGGGACAAACAATAGACCATTAGGAAATTTGGCTCAGTGAGACAGGCTGTACAGGCACTTCCCCACAATGCACTGCACAGAGGAGTGCAGTGTCTGATAGGCAGCAAGCAAACAGAAGCCATTCATCACAAACTGACCTTTAATCCAGACAACTGAACAGACCACAGCATGAACCAAACAACAAACAGGTCCAAGGTTTATCACCACAGTCATGTAGCTACCTGTGGCAATTAACAATGAAACGACTGTTCATCTATCAATGCCTTCTGCCATGTTTAAAGCTGGTTCTAGGGCAAACTGTGGCACCTTAACAGGTTGCATGTGGCCATCAAACCCATTTTTGCAACCCTTAAACAAATCTATTAGAAACTGTATGTTAAATGTTAGCCATTGTTTGATGAAGGCCAACTTTAAGCAATGTTTTTGAAAGATTTCGAAGTTCAGTTTGCGGGGGAAAGAGGGAGGGTCAGAGAGGGCACTGCCTCCCCATTGGCTGAAAT